AGACTTAATCAGTTACTTACCATAACGCTGCCACAGTCGTTATCTGCTCAAGCACTAACATCATCCCACTCTCTATATATTTAATTGATATTTTATATATTCTTCACACATTTGAGGTTTCATCACATTAATTTGGACGTATAGTGTACATAATTAATGAATGTGATTCCTGTTGATATTTTTAACCGAAGAAGTATAATGGGACAGGCAAAAATAAAAATGAAAATTGAAATCTTTTTATTACTTTTGACCATCATCAACATCCAGCAGTCCAAGCAGAGATGTCCAGACCCTATCCACTCACTTCCTCCAGCTCATCCGTGTGAATCCTGAGGTTTTCCCAGTCCCTCCAGCCTGCTCTTTTTTGCTTGTCCTGGTGTTTTATTTATTTATTTATTTATGTATTTTGGCTGTTGCACAAGCTTTAATAAAGCTGTAATAATGGGCTTTGGTTAAGAAACTTAACGTGTGATCTTCCAGAGTTGCTACTGTTCAGCTTAAAGTATAATTTAGCTCTCTGTAAAAATCTGTGTGACCTCCTGAAGTATGTTGGTATTAAACACACTTGGTTTTTAATGCTGCTTTTGCTGAAACCCAGAAAATCTTTAATTACCAGTTCAAAATGACTTCCCTTAGACGTCAGCACAAATGCCCTCCCCTGTGAAAACATATGGCACTTCCAAAATGTGGATTTAAGTCAGCTCCGAGCCAGTGAGACCCTATAGCCCTTTTCTCACAATAAGAATTAAATACACACATTGAAACACACAGAGATGCTCATGTATGCTTTTCCCAGGCTGTCTCAAGTGGAATTCATTTGCATAGTTGTTGTTTTATTGGCAATAATGAATTCATAACTCCAGAAAGACATTTGTTTGTGGGGTCCTTAGAGATCACACTGATAGATTTTAAACCAGCAGCTCACATTGACTGTGTTTATCCATTGTAAAAAGCAAACATCCGCATCTTCTGCTTAAGGCACGTATTATTCATTAGGCAATCTACAGATTATTTTGCATGTGTTATCGCTATACTGTACTACTATACTTTACACAGAGCAAGATGAATGTGTGGACTTGAACATTTATTACATCAATCGAAGCAAAATATGTTTTCAATTAAAAATGCTCATTGCAAGCAAAAATATACTGTTCTATTTCTTTCTTCCATTAGTTGTAGTATCATTAGTTCTTGCTAGCTGTAGGAACTTAAGACTTTTTTACCTTGTCACAACCCAATTAACTGACTGACTAACCAAGCAGATTACAATAATTGAGTTTCCTATAGCTCCTATAGCTACTATAGAACAACTCTATCACAATAAATATACACATATCTGCCACATGGCTGGATAAGAACTAGATTAAAGTATTTGCTTTGGCTAATACTGTATGTATTATGGTTTCTACATTGTTGAATTTAGAGGGAATATACACTTTAATAAGGCTTGCAAGGGTCTTACATTATTGAAATACACCAAATTTTGAATCATATTGTAAAGTTTAGCCCCTCAGTATGAACATTTCCAGATCTGGTCCAAAGACATAACCCCAACCTTCGCTCATTAAGGCACAAGAACGTCCAGCTCTCAGAATGCACCGGCCCATGTATTTGATCCTAGAAGTGTTTGAGTGTGTGTGTGTGTGTGTTGCTTCCAGCTCAGGAACATCAAGAGCGGTGTGTGTTGGCCACAAGCTCTCTCTGGGATAAACAGACACTAATCCTTCTTCTCCTCCACATCCAACAACGCCATGTTATGTGTGTCTCGGCTTCAGCTCTGGGCAAGGTTGCATGATTTCATATGACCTTAAAAAGAGGAAAGATGTCTCAGAGCTAAGTATGTTTCGTCTGTGTCAATCACTGTTGAAGAAATTACGGTTTGTGCGTGGCGCTGTGTGTTTGTGTTTGCAAGTGAATGTTCTGAGGGGGTTTTGTGTAATCGCACTGAGCGCTCGAGCGTGCAGAGAGAAAGGACATGTCCTCAGCTGTGATCACATCGTCGACTACAACCACAGAGAGAAGGGAGACAGACAGATACTGGAAGAGTAAGAGTCAGAGGGGAAAACATGAAATGAATGGATGATGGTGCAAAAACAAAAGTTCCAAAAACGAGGGGGAAGGATTTCAAATGAAGTGGTGGGCAACAAAAGATGGATGTGTTTAAAGACGGGGAAAGACACATCTGGAGGGAGGTGTAATGAAGTCTCAGAAGAAGGGAAAAGGCCAAAGCTGTGATAAGGGGAGCAGGACTGACAGAGATAGAGGGGAAGTGATTGGAAGGGAGGCAAAGATGAAACAATGTGAGGAGGAGGGCTGCAGTAAACTTTAGGGGCCAAACCAGGGCACAGACCACACGATGAGAGCTATGATTTTGGGACAGATTTCACAAAATGACTGGGCAGTTCTGGTTATCAGAGACTTGCACAAATCATCTCATCAAATTTAATATGGCATAAAGTGGTCTATTCTGATCCAGCAGAACAATTTGGCTGCACTGCTGCACTTCAGTCATTACTAAAATTCAATCTTTTTTCTTCCAATAATCCCTGTGCAAGTGTGGAGAGATTTGAGACTTTTATGTAAACTATTGACTTGAGAAATGGATATGGATATACGACTTGGATAAAAGGGAAGGCAGTTACGTTACCTTATTGCTGGTTTTTCTTTGTCAATAATACATGGTCATTGTCTCGACAGAAAGAGTTGTGAAAAAATCAGACCACAATATGCCAACTTCGTCATTTATCAAAAACTGCTACGTTTGGTCGTTTTTTTTTTTTGCTTTTGTGTTTGAAAAAGTGACATGTGGAAAACTACACTGCAAAAAGTAATGAAAAATAGTTGCTCACATTTGGAAGTGTGTCTTATTTGAGTTTAATTTATTCATGATCTTGTTTTAAAAAGATACAAGAAATGTCTCCCTTGAAATGAGAAAACAAAGCCACAGTTTTTGAAATAAATGGCTTTGTCCCATTGGAAAATCCTGTTTTAAGGCAGTTACGTACTCAAATTAAGATTATTATTATTATTTTTGTAATTAAAAACCATAAATCACCTCAACGGTGTAGTGATAGAACCAGACTGTTTTGAGAGCAAGAAACTGCCATAGTTTTGTAGATTTCATTACATTGTTGATTTATTTAGCTATGTTCCCCAGCTTTAACGTGTACTAAGTAACTTTTTGATGGATTGGTCCAAAAAATGCATGCCTTGCTCATAGTGTTTTCTAGTGTGGCAGGAAACAATCAGGTGAAGCGAGAGCATTATCATCATTATCGTCATTTTGGCTCATTCCGCCATAGGAAGCACGTCCTCCTAATCTCTGAGCTAGCTGAGCCCTCAGTTAGCCCGGCTAATTGCGGAGGTATCACTGTGTCAAATGACTAATAGACTTTTCCTTCCACCGCTAATCTTCCAGCAGGGAGCGCAGCCGTGATTTGTTTACTGTGCACCAAAGACTACAAAGACACACCCGTCTGTTTACCTCCCCCTCAAACACAATTTCACGCCATCACAACCCGCGCGCTCGGAACACAAGTGGTCCATGCATGACTTTGTTGGAGCTTTCTATGATTTGTTTAAAATTTCATGAAACGGCACAGGTCTGTGCGGGGGGGAAAAAAGCAAGTTATTTCACTCAAGTTGCTTTCTTCAACATCTATTTCCTTGCTGAAGTACTCAATCTTGATGATGTTTGATAGGACTGACACACGAGTGGCTACAATAAAATCCTCAATCTGAAATATCCACAGGTCAACCACACACACGGATAATACAAGCAGGCACATTCACAATGATTTTTGCCAGGCAATATCAACCAAAAGGTCAAGTCATCACTCAGCCCACACCATTAGCAAATGATATTTCAGCAATGCTCCATTTGGTTAAGGCAGGAACAAAAGAAAAGGGACGTAGATGAAAAAGAAAAGAATGGAAAAAGAAAATCGAAGACTTAAAGATGCTTTAGGGGCTGTATACAAAGCAACACAATGTGGAAACTTCCAGAGTTACCTTCTCGAACACGCAGAGGGGCTGCTCATTCATCTCAATGCGTTTGAATGACCATTACTTTCACTATAGCACAAGTCATGAGCATCAGGGCAAAATGGGATTTCAACTCTCAAACAGACCAGTTATAACAATACTGTGTTTTTTATACAAATGTTTTCTGCAGTTGCCTACATTTTTTGCGTCACATTTAAAAAAATATATATATTCTAAACAAGAAATCCATTTTTATAAGACATAATCGCAATCAAAATTGTCAAAATAATTGTCAGTTGCAGTTTGTTTACACATCTCCACATGCTGCTGAATGTCTAGTGATGATGTCAGCTCTAAACTGTGCTTTTGGCCCATTCCAGGCTCTGTCAGAGAAAATGACCTCTTTACAGCTTCATATTGATATAATGATTATGAGGGTTATGATTTCATTTAAATCATTAACTAAGATCTAGAAATGAATATATATATACACTACCCCATCCTAATTGAAAGTCCTCTTGAGATGTAATCATGTAGTATTGTCTTAGCCCACGTCTTGCTGGCCACGAAGACTATAGATGGATAATTGGCTGTGAATGTCCTTGATATCCTCCCTCGACTCCTTGCTTTTAAACTTTCGCCCTACTTTTGTGTCAGGCCTCTTGGCGCCCCCACAGTGGTGTCTAAACCATCATTGGTAATTAGACAGTCATAAAGACAGACATGCCACAGATTTCAGAATTTGACAAGAAATCAGCTTGTGACGCTTGCTGCACCATATCTGCAACACTGTCTTAGTATTCTAGCTGTCTTGTTTTCTTCTCATTCACTATTTCTAGCCTGTCTAATTCTTTGCATCTGTGTCAAATTTGGGGCATTGATACAAGAGTCTTTTAGCCTCATGGGCATTGCATGGCAGAGTGTTTTCTGTCTGGCTGGCAAATGCATTTTTATTAACCTGATTTGCGTGCTCAGAAATAAAAATATGCTAATGCAGGTTACATCATCTAAAGAGGTTCCTCGTGCCTCTGGTGGCCTGACTAATGAAGTTTACGGCGCTGGGCTGACTAATGAAGTTTATCTGAGTTGGTGAGAAGAATTTAAATAGCTGCATTAAAACCAGTCGTTAGTAATTGGTTCAATTTCCACCGTTCTATTCCAAACTCCCACTGATGACTGCTGTCGTTGTGTCCTTGGGCAAGACACTTAACCCCACTTTGCCCAAAGCCCCCACTGAAAGATCAAGGCTATGCTCACACTCAGAGCAGCCGTCCTCCTGTGGACTCACCACCTGCAGAGGGTCAGTGAGGGGCTGGTGCTATGAGACTTGGGTGGCATCTCTGATTGCCACCCCCCTGACCCAGAAATGGATTAAAGGGTAGAAAATGGATGGATGGATGGACTATTCCAAAGGTATGCAGTTTTTAAGGCTGTGCGCGTGCAGGGGAGGGGGGATTACAAACAAAGGCATGAAGGTCAAGTGAATGCCACGACTCAAGACACCACTAAAGAGAAAGTTTGTTGATCACATAACAATAAGACACTCCACACCCACAGCTTTTCCATTGCTAATTTCAGATTTATCCTTGTGGGGGCTTGTGCAAATGCATTCCCTCTCGAGGTAGTGTTGAAGCAAAAGTCTTTGTGGTGTTTTTTTTTCATTGGCCCGCGTGAAAGCCATGGTCAATCCGTTAGTATTGATTTTAAGGCCGTGATTTATCCGCCTGCCCTGCTAAGTGCATATTTATGTTGCTTTTGCATGTGTGTACTTGTGTTTTCAAAGCCGATAATGACTGAGGAGATACGCCCGCCTTTATTTCTTGCTTTCTCACGCACCCGCACACGCACCGGCTGTCTGAGTGTTTTTACAGCCGGAGCAACAAGCACCCTGGACTCACATTAACGCCTTGATATATCGCTGATCCGCAGCTAAGACACAATGGGGAGGAGAGTGACAGCTTCTGTGCCCCTGCAGCTTGCTGATACCCCCCGACAAATCTCTAATCAATTTACAAATAAAAAAATAGTAAGCAGGTTTTTGTTGTCCTGTGATATGTCAAAAGTTGGACACATTTTACAACTTGAGTATGTGAGCTGAATACAGTTGGGGAGTATTTACACATACACAACTGTCTACTTTGACTTATCAAGGGTCAATACACTAGATAAAAAGTTATTATTGTGTGTGTACTATATCTATTTTGCGCAATTACTACATATTAACATAACGCAATAGTGGATATTCAGGAGTTATTTCACATTATTTCACATGGGAATTGTAGAATTATTTAGCTATTTTCCTTATTATTATACACTTGTTTTTTGTGCTTCATATTGATTCATTTAGATGTTTTAGTTTAAGCTCATTTGATAAACAACTGCTAACTACTGGTATTATTAGTGGTATTTTCTGTTATTATCCTGCTATACAGTTAATGACATTTGAATGCAAATGTTTTCACTGGCACATTATTATCCTCATCATTATATTTTAAAAGCAAGTCTGAATCAGGTCTGTGCAACGAGGACACCACATTAACATTTATGTTAACATTGTTAACATTTATGTTAACATTGTTAACATTTATGTTAACATTGTAACATTGTGCGGTGGTTTTTACAACTTTGCGTCTTTTTTCTTGAACTCAATACAATGACAAAACCAAAGACAGTATGTATATTTGAGCCTATTTTTGCAACAATCCTCTTTATTGACTTCTGTTACTGTTTATTCTGGGCCTCTTGCCAATAACTCTCAGTATAAAGGAAACACAACACATAATCTGGTACTTTCTCTCTTGCTCCTTTCCTTTCGTCTCTTTTCCACACTATCCATCCACTCATGTTTAATCCTTAGACCAAACCCAGCATGTGCATGACCAATCCTTACGTTTTGTCCTCTGTCCCTACTTTCCTCCCTTAGCTCCCTCCTCCCCGGGTGTGGACTCCGCCCCTTTACAGCGTACAGGAAGCCATGGCAACGCCCCGGGAAACTACAGCCGTGGGACCAACAACTATGCCACCGTGGGACCAGGCTACACCTCCAGCGTGAGCAGCAGCGATGTCTACGGCTCGGATCCCTACGTGGCGGACCCCTACCGGACCCTCCAGTACTGCCCCTCTGTGGTGGAATCGCCCTATAGCAAGTCAGGGCCCGCTCTGCCGCCCGAGGGAAGCCTGCAGCGCTCGCCTTCCATCGACTCCATCCAGAAAGATCCCAGGTATGATCAAAGGCGGTGGCTGTTACAGCCAGCCTGTATGCGAGGGGTAGGGGCTGTGCTTTTGACTGTTGCTATTGGCAACAGTGATATGCATTCGCCATACGATCAAAAGGTGGAAGGTATATGCTTGCTTAGGTTGATATAGTGTGATTTTAGCTTATGGTTGTTTGCATACCTAGAGGATAGACCTTTGAAGAGTATTGGCATTTATTGTATTGGCATTTTTCTGAAGGTATTTCTTTCATTGTTTTTTTGTATGACCTCTTGAAGTGAATTGCTGGAAATATTAAAACATATATATTGTAAGTTTAGCTGTTTTGGCCATATTTGGGAGTTTATAAGGGATATAATGCACTCATTGTTAGTGATTGTGTGAAGCCATATATTGTCAAATGTGTTTTGGGGGAGATTGCAATTGTACAGTTCATGGAAGGCGGCCCAGGAATTTACTGGAACTAGTGGGTTTTTGCCTTGAAGAATGTGCAGCTTTACCACCAGAGAGAAAAAAGAGCCTTCTCCTCAACTACAGAAGACTCCAAGCTGTCATAGATGTTTGGGGAAATACAAACATTTGTGTGGCTTCTGTTGTTATTATAATATGAAAATAGAAAACATGTTTGATTGGCAAATACATGGCTTCACACAACAACTAAATTTAAGTGAAAAAGTTTGTGTTATTATTCACAATCTCTGAAATATGGCCAAATAATTTATGCCTGGTTGAGTAAACGTTCAAACTCAACTGTATCTATGTTCACAAACTACGTTCACAGACATGGCCGGAGCTCTGGTGTGTCGGGTGCACACTCGGGTACTCTTGCGCAGGTATTCCAATGTGGTTTTACTGCAAACGGCAAATCAGCTGAATCAGAGTCTGAATTTGTGACTGGGCTTACATAAGCTTGTAATGACCTGCAACTTCTTGGCTTTTTTTGTTGTCGGAGTTTGCATGCAAAAGCCAGATCCTGTCAGACCTCTGAAGCTGTGCAGGGCAGGGTCTGGTCAGTGCTGTAATGGGAGACCTCTGGGAACACCAGGAGCCACAGTGGGGCGGCTGTGGCTGTAAAGTGCCAAACTATTGTTGTGTCCTTAGGCAAAACACTTCACCCACATTGCCTAGAAGGAGTCTGGTGTGTGTGTGTGAATGGTTGGTGGTGCTTGGACGGGCCTATGGCACATACTGGTTGCCTTGCTTCTGTCAGTGTGGCCCAAGGCAGCTGTGGCTTCACCGTGTATGGAGTGGAAGAATAATGACATGTGAGGTGTCTTTGAGTGTCCTGAAAAGCGCTATATAAAACTGAATATTATTATTATTATCATCAACATCATGTAGCATGGTGTATTTCGTCTCAACTAAAAATAAATAAAGTTGAGACTGAGAGTGTGTCTTGTTTACCAACTGAATGTTCAAAAGACAAAGCTCAATACCACCCTCATAATGTCACACTGCGTTTAAAGAAGTGTCCTACTGAGCTGTAATCACTTCTTTCCTCTTTTCTCTGTAATTAAGCAAAGCACAGACTTCACTCATTATTTCATAGATATTTCATAGAACTCTTGATGTTTAATTCTATTAATTTCAGATGAACAGTGGCGGATAGGCTCAAGTTTCAGTAGCATCTGTCACTCACAAGAAAGAACAATAGGGATGAACATCTAAAGAGGAAAGTTTGTTATATAAGTAAGAAAAATGCCAAAAATGTTGTCTATAAATAAGTATGGAGTTTAGTTTTCCAGTTCTTTGAAGTAAAACTTAAGAGGTCCTGTTAAGTCTGATTGACGGATCAAGAACAGCGTGGTTGAGTGTTTCCTTGAGGTAGAAAAATAAAATCTATGAATAAGTCAAAGTGGTGTAAAAAGCTGTATGAGTTAATCGTTACTTTAATGTAGGATTAATTGATTTAAGACACATAATAAAAAAGATTATATTATGCAGGTTTTCAGTGCAAGTTCTGATGTTAACTGATCAGTGAAGAAGAAATATTCTGGTTGAGTTCTGGCATTTAACAATCATGAGACTTTTTACTTTCTCAATTCATGTTTTAGAATGTGAAATATTGTCTTCAGTAGCAAATATATGGTGAAACAAATGTGAAGTGTAACAAATCTAACTCTACACGCTACCACTAGAGGGAGGAGTTAAATCTGTTTTTTTGGGGGGGGGTTTTCAAACATGTGGTACATCAAACTATTACAGGACTGAGATGCGATGAGTTAGACAGAAGAGGCGGTTATTAGATCAATCCATGCAACAAGAACAATGTTATAACATGGTAAAAGGCTAAAACATTAACATAATAGGTCTTGTTTAAATTAACTCAATTAACTGACTCATTTTTCATCAGCAGATCCATCATCCCGCAAACAACATGCACAGAATGCCATTTACACGGGGCTTATTTCATGTGATTTTTCTTTTGTTACCCCCTGTTGATTTTAATAAGAACTTGTTTAATTAGAAGCCTTGAAGTTCTTCATGAGCAATTAAACTTTCAGGGTAGGGGTCTGATGGAAGAAGCAAGTGAGATATGCTTTTGTGTTATGTCGCCGCAAGTGTGAAATATTTATGAACTGGTGAATTCCGTTGGGTATTTGTACAGGAATTAAGTTCTGCAGCTGCGGGTGGGCCAGGTTAAAAGCCACTGTGCATGAATGTGTCCCTACGTGTCTGCTGTGTGGTGTTTTTGGTCATGCAGGGACAGGTTTGGTCAGGAATACAGGAGTTCTAAACTCACTGTCTATAAGGCTGTCGCACTTCTACACTAATGTTTAGCAGATAACAGTCGCTGTGTTCAGACTTTGTGACAGATACTGGGAAACAGCACAAACGGTTTCTCCACCTCATCATAAATTCCTTCTTCACTCATCTATTCTCTAATCTTGGTATATCCATAAAATTAACCTGATTCATTCCCATATTATTCAACAAATATTGGCAGGAAACAAGTGCACACTGCTTTTGGATTGATCGCACTACTTTAGTTGCATATTATCAAAGCAGATACCCAGCTGGGTGTTGTTGCCAGCACTTTGGCTGTTCTGATTTTGTTTTGCGAGGATCAAGAAAGTTAAATGAGTTCTGACTTGATTCAAGGTGATACCTCACAATTAGGATGTCCAGCTGCAGATGAGAGCCAATATTAATGTAAGCGAGGTAGGGTCGTGTCGGTTCCCAATACAGTATGTTTATCCCATATATTCAGGGTGGGCCGGGTAGGCCAGAAAAAAAACAAAAACAAAACTACATTCTGTACCTTTTTTCTATATTTTGAGATCCATTTCCGGGTTGTGCTACAATACCCATTATTAGCTCCATTCTCTTTGCTACAAGGTTAAAAGCCTTCCTACCCAAACTGCATTCTCTCTCTCCTTCAGTGTAATTGGATCTAGCTGAGCTAACATGAAGTGCTAAATGAGTTAGCAGCTATTAGACGCAAGGAATACTTGAATGATGGTGGACCGAGGGGGTGCATACATATGCTTGAGCTGGAAGTGTCGGCAAACTGTTTAATGTGTCCACATTGTGTCTCTGATTGCGTGGCGGCTTTTGTGTGTGTGTGTGTTTTTCCTGTCAGATATTTAGTAGATGCAGTAACGCTAACGTGAGCATGGCTAAAACTCAATAATGGCTAATGGATGGGAGTAAAGAAGTATTGAGGGGAGATTAGGTAGAAGAGACAGGGGGTGGAGGGTGTGGGGTATGAGGTGGACTTGGAAAGGGAGGCAAATGAGCAAAGTGGAAAATCTGGCACGATGAGGAGAAGGATGGAAGATTAAAGGAGTCAGCCATGGGAATAATGTAGTGTCTGGGACAGAGGTCAAGATAAGAAGATGTAAAGAAATGGAGAGAAAAGTGAGGAAAAGACTATACATTCAGAGTTATTGATTTGTCTCACCATTACATAAAAAGCTATGTTGTTTTTTTTTTCCTCCTCTCGGTAAAATCAACGTTGCCCATCTTGTCCTCAATATTAAACCGTGGCATTTTTAGAGCCGGTAAAATTGGACTTGATGAGGATGGACCCAGGGTGGCAAAAACAAATAAAACAAGATTGGAGGAAGCAAGCACTAAAAGACATTTGTTTGGGGAATAGAAAACATTCATTACAAAACAGGACCAACAAAGGAACAAGCCAGTGAGGTATGCTAAACATATGGAGCTTTGTGAGCCCAGACAGCGATAAAACCAGTGAGAAGGTGAGAAGAGGGAGAAGAGCATGGGACTGAGGCCTTAGGGACCGGCTACTGTTGTTTCAAAGCTGCAGTTGAGCAGTGAAAATAAAAAAATAGTTGTGGTGTAGGGAAAAAGAAAAAAAAAAACAAGTGAGATGGGGAGTTTGCAGCAACAGTTCGCACAAATGAGGATTGGCAGCTTGGAAAAATTGTGATCGCAAAACAACGCAGCAGTATCACTTCAACTGTGGGGTGTCTCATCAAACAATCAGCTCAAAATATGGACTCAGCACATTTTGAGTATTAATCATATTCACAGCTTTGAATCAAACGTTGCTTTAATGTGATATATGTGTGATAACTGTGATAATACTGCTTGTGTGCAAATGGGATTTTTTTTGTATCGTTCATGCAAAAGGAGTAATTATAAGTTTATTTCTTGTTGTGTGTGCCTCGGGTTTCTAGAAGTGATTATCTGCAACTTTTAGGTTCAAAGTGCAGAAATACACTTGACATTTGAAACTGCCTTCTATACATCAAAGCACCACAGTTGAAATGTGAAGAGATGCATTGTTCAATTGGGAACAATTATTCTCGTAAATATTGTTGAAAACTTATTATAGCCATAACATGAATGCGTCCCAATAGACTCAATGACTGTAAATATTAACGGACATAGTCACGCCTATCTCCGCCGTTGAAACGAATGGGCCATCACTTTTGGCATATTTGGGGCTTTTTCAAAATGGCTGTGGGCAGCCCCTCCCGCAGGAAATGTGAAAAAAACGCATTTGCGCATGCGTTAGCCGGCACCAGCCCCAATCATT